CATGACGTGTTTTTTCCTTCAGTTGGTATTCTGCTTTGGAGAAAACTTTGTGGCTGTATTACATTAGCCAACTTATAAAATCGGCCTCCGAAGTCGCTGCTGCCCTTGATGCTCACTGCCGCCCGGTCATGGTCCACTGCACGGATGGCTGGGATCGTACCCCGCAGCTTACGTCTCTCGCCAAGATCCTTTTAGATCCATTTTATCGAACCATCAAGGTAATCCTAACCTTTCCGTTTGTGATGAATTTAAAGGTGTAATATTTTTCTCAAATTGACTTGTGTATGATCTAACTGTGACTCACTTCAATACTTCCTTTGTCAACACAAGACTCCGTAACATATAAATCCACAGGGTTTCAGGCAGCTTAGAACTCAAAGGGTTCCGTGGAAAACGACGACTCATTTTCCAGACCGCTTTTGTAGCGTATTTAGTGATGACAAAAGTATTGCTGCGCCGTTATCACAGACTAGGCGATTATTAACAGTGGCCTCTGCATTTGGAGCTGATTTAGAAACCGGTTATATGCGGATCCATTAAGATATTTAGATTAACGGTACGAAGCGCAGGCATATCGGAGCACGCCGTGGGCAGTCGAAATTTATTTTACCGCACCTTAAATTTTATCTGGCATTAATTATGAGTTGCCTCGGCCCCATTTGACCCATATTCTCTTATGCATAACCGCCACGAAAAACTCGAAAATTCTTCAAGATATTTGCTGTACTCTAAAAAGGCTTCATCCATAGAGAACTAGATTTTTCAGGTTTGTTAATTTTATCAGTATGTTCATTTCATACTATTTCCTATCGCTAATTTCTTGCACGATGTATCTTCCAAACCGTAGCTGTATACCATTAATACTGCATATTAGAACTTCTTACTTTACCGACACCTAGGTTTCATTGTCTTGCTCCGCTCTACTTCGTCGATTTTAGGGATTTAGAATCCTCGTTGAACACGAATGGTTGCAATTTGGCCACAAGTTCGGCGATCGTTGCGGTCACAATCCATCGAGTGCTCCAGAAGAGCGCAGCCCAATTTTCCTT